ACACACACAGACAACCCCGTAACAATATGCGTTTTGTACTGCTGTTACTCAGCACAAAACGCATAACAACTGGAAAAGTTACTGGCTGAAGAGTTGGACACTGACGCTGTGAAATGCAGTTGACGCATTATTTCTCATCTAAGCCGTTATCTAAGAGCACATATAAGTAGTGATGAGGCAGACTATTTTTAACTGATAACAAACCATATTTTCGGGCTGCAGCAGTTCGCTCATTTTCTTCATTAGTTTTGAAACTACTGGCTTTAAGATCACTTTGATAAGGATTCCTTCGATTCCCTTCAGCCCCTCGTTGAAATTATTCCGATAGGAGGGCACCGAGCAGTCAGGTACTGTACTTTGTCGTCGTGGCGACGAATTACTCCGCGGACGGCTCATCCCTGCTGCAAATGTACTTATGAAAACTAGAGCCGTTCTAAGAAGTGGCAGTTTGCGGAAAGGCACAGTCGTAACGACGTGGAAGTTTATCAAAGCAGAATTAATGAGACACTTTCATACCGAAACTCATATACCTGTAATGCTTTTTTTGATGCTTTTTTGCATTTTAACAAACGTGCATGTATGTCTGTGTGCGCGCGTGTATGCATGTACGGAGTATATTTGTGACTTTCACCATTTCCAGCTTTTTAGCCAGATTACCCAGAAAGCAAAATTTGAGGAGAAATTTTTAATTCTACATCAGCCCAGAATCGTAAAATGAGCATCGTAACTTCGTTAGAATGCAGGATATGGTATCAGGTAAATCTGAGTCAAATTTCCCCACACCGGTAAATTTTTGCATTTGTAAACGTCATGCGGGTCTAGTGCCGATTTCTGAACGAAAAAAAAAATACTCGTCTCATACTGTGCATCGCTATAAAACTTTTACCCCAACACTCCTCAAGCTGCGTTGTGAAAGAAATGAGATGACCGTAAATCTATTTTGGTGCTGATCAATAAATATTGGCACAGTTTCTCTCGCCTGGAAAACCAGCTGGCAAGCATTCGTTTCATATCTAACCTGTGATATCGGATCTGCAAAAGCCCGTTACAGAGTGTAGCGTGTCGATTAGCACTTGGATATTACATTCTTCGATATGGCTAACTAGCAACTGAGCAAAGCCATCCTGATCGATGCGGTGTATTATTGCCAAAATAGTCCGAGCTTTTACTCTTAGGAAGTCGCCTTGCGAAGTACGTAAGCCATCGTTGCAGCCATGTGGGCATCCTAACCACAGATATATTCTGGAATTGATCGTGAAATGATTTCTATGTGGTGGTTACTCTGGCTCATTTACTGCTGAGGTTGTCTCTTAAATAACAATGAGCCAAACAGCACATGAAACTGAAGTTCGAAGGCTGAAGTCAGTGGCGTAACCAGAATTTTTTCATAACAATCATTGCCAGAACAACATTTTGACAAACTTAGAAGGGATTAGACAGGAAAAGTTATTTTGAAAATAACTATTCAGCGTTTTCGATGCATTTAATTTGAAAATGATTACAACTAAAACCCATGTTGCAATGCACAGGCTTGTCGGTGCGATCATGCTTTTTTGCGCTAAGCTTGCAAATCGATAGCAGCAGAAATGATTCCTGTGCTGTACTTTAACGCTTAGACTCATACTGGCTGTGCTTTGGCTTTCTCCTGCACGCAGGTGAAAGAGCGACGGCTGGATGCAGATGCTGCATTATAGGGCCGCATGGACCTGCAGTGGACATGATTATCCGGTTTTTTGCATGAAGCCCGGTTGTTTTTCGACTAACGTCCGCTCATTAAAAAAAAATGCAAATTTGAAAGAAATCAGAATATGATTATGAAACCTGCAAAATGCACTCACTTTAGAGAATGCAACAAAACTGAGTATTTATCATGCCTGCGTTCAGAAAATTTAACCTTCAAATTGAATGAATACCATAAGTAAATATAAAATACCCTTCCAAAGTTTTAACTTCGCAGCTTGCTTGGTAAGCGAAATAGCCATTTTGGTACAAATATCTTTGAAGCATCCTAAGTCGAAGTGCAAGTAGAAATCGAAACTTAATTAATATATACGATTTTCTATATCAATAATAAATATTTTGACCAAATTTCAACCAGTATTTTCCGGCTAGTTTTCGAGATAGAACAGTGTCAAATGCGAGCTTTGAGTTGGCCGCACGTGCGATATAAGCGTGCGCGACTGTTGAATTTGAAATCTTTAGCTCACACATGCGCAGAGAACATCCTTGCAAAT